AAGGTTCAAATTCATTTGCACTCATTCAGCCCAACATTTTTTTCATTCCCTACAAAAGCACAACTAACTAAACAAACCATCCTTGCCAACTTGAACCTTCACATTTCAAAGAGTAAAACAGGTACGTGCTACACTTCCACATTTGCATTATGAAGCTTCTGTATGTGCCAACTACCTAATGAAACAGGGTTATCCAATTAGCAAAACACACTTTCCCTATTCAGGATCACCACCTCCCATCTACCATGAAATAACAGCTGTTCACTACATTCCTTTGCTCAGTAAAACTATCTTCTTTTCCTCTTTTATTTTTCCAGCCAGCTTACTCATTTGGGCATTCTTTTCCCTCTCAACCTCTGTTCCCCTCACAATTATTATATATACGTCATACTAGGGATGTAAATGGTTAAACAACAATTATATTTGTACCATTTAGTGACCTCCAGCAGGAAGGGACCCAGTCCCTTATGTGTTCACTGCGCACCTGGTGCTGCATGGGCCCCAGGCCACTGGTGGGAAGCCACAGGGCAGTCGTTGCAGCCGAGCCACTAGGTGCCACTGCCCAGCTCTGGACCTGTGGCTTACTTCCCCATGGGCTGGGGCTGGGGCAGCGGACCTCTCCTGTTCCTAGATCCTGCTGCCATGGGGAGAGAGGGAGGGAGGTGCCTGAAGGCCACCCCCAACGGGGTCGGGTAGAGCTTTCCCGCCACAGCAGTAAGACTCCTGGCTCCACACTGGGTTAGCCCAGCCTGCCCGCAGCAGCAAGGCCCAGGCAGGGTGATGGGCTCCCTGGTCTTCCCACCACACTTGTACTGCCATGGCCCAGACCTAGAAGATTCCTCTGTGCTGCCAGGCTAGGCCCTCCCCATCTTACTCTGGGGACAGAGGGGTCTGGTCCCAGCATGGCAGCCTCCACTGGGTGCACAGTTTCTTTTCCCGTCCTGTCTATGGTGTGGGGGCTGCATGGGGCCTGGCCTAGGCCTGAGGCAAGGCCGAGCACATGGCTGGCTTGGCCTGAGGGGGTGCCCCAGCAGCTGAAGAGGGGGGTGCCATAGCAGTGTGGTGTTGGGTCTGAGGGGTCACCACCAGTTCTTTATGTGGTGAACACGGCCCCCTTAGGGAGTTCCTGAAGGGTGGCAGTGTAGCAAGGGTCCCGGGGGAGCATTAGGGTTGCAACAGTGGCCTCCCAGGCTGGAGCTGCTGCACCACCACCCCTCAGGAATGACCTAGGGCTGGGTAGAGCCACCATGAGGCCAGGAGTTTTGCTGCTGAAGGGGGCCTGGCACCTCCTTCCTTCCCCATAGCAGTGGGATCCAGGCACAGGAGAGGTCCACAGCCCCAGCTCCATCTGCAGCCCCAGCCCCTGTTAGGAGAGCCCACAGCTCCACAGCTTGGCAGCAACCCACTGCCCCCTGCCCATGTCTCCCTGCCAATGGCCTGGGGCCCACACAGTGCCAGTTGAACAATGAGGTCACTAAACTAGTGTTGGAGGTCACTAAATTAGGTATGTGCTATCAGTTAACCATTTAACCCAGTGGTTGTCAACCTTTTTTCATTTTCAAACCCCTTTGGAAATTTTCAGTGTAAGTGTGGGTACTCACATACTTTTGATTGACTATAATCTTGTTGTGTGGACCCCTTAGACATAGTCTGACTACCTCCAGGGGTTCACGGACAGCAGGTTGAAAACCAGTGGTTTAACTGATATAGCTAGATGTTAAATGGATAACTTATTAAAGGCTATTTACATCCCTACTTTATACTTTCCCTCACCCTTCCTCTCCAGTTGCCCACACAGATGTTGGTCACCATTGAAAACAGAAAAAGACCATGCTATGTAAATTTAACCTGACCAATAACTATTTAAACCTCATTTGTTAAGAGGATATGGAAGCAATAGTTGACAGTAACAACAGTTCTGTCCCTTCTCTCCCCAGTTGTGTTGCTTAATTCTCTTCTCCCCAGTTGTGTTGCTTAATTCTCTGTCCCTTACTTTTCCTCCATTAGTGAGATAGCAGAAGTTTTAGGAAGGGTTGAATGTGCCAATGTAGTTGAACAGCTTAGGAATGGGCATGAAAGGTTTCAACTTTACTTAGCAAAAAATTTCTGAAAATGATCAGTTTTTTGAATTCTAATGAAAAATTAGTGCATTAAAGAAATGCAGATGTTTTCTGTGAGAGCTTTTGTTTATCTGCAAACCTAGTTTTCATGTAAAAAATAAAAGACAATTGGACATTTTTGACCATCCTGATCAGGAATGTTTTTGAGAAGACATACTAGAAAGATGAGCGAAGCAAGAGATACATATCTGTAGACAAGTAATTGGCTACTGGCAACAGAACCACAGAATAGAAAGGGTCAACTTCAGAACTGCTATCTTTAGGAACCTCCTCCGGCTCCTCTGTCTTTCTTGCTCTAAGTACTTCCATTTTCTCTCTTCTTCTCCTATCCATTTTAAAATTCACATGGTTCTATCAGTAAAGCCCCTTAGTGCTTGTAATTCTTCAGATGTTCCTATAACAGATCTGTGCTGGAAGTACTCATACTACTCCCACTTTTACAAAAACAGATTCATGTCAGGAAATGGAGCTACGGATAGCTCATACTAAGTGTCAGAGGGAGGTCCTCTTTCAGTCTTCAGATGTTGGTCTTAGTACAACTGCATACCTAGTAAATGCAGTAGCTGCTGTCTTGTTACTTATGGCTGAATTTCATAGATTTCATAGACTTCATAGACGTTGGGGCTGGAAGGGACCTCATAAGATCATCGGGTCCAGCCCTCTGCCCAAGGGGCAGGAAGTCAGCTAGGGTCAAAGGATCCTAGCAAGATAAACGTTGAAATGTTTCTTGAAAGTGTCTAGAGTAGGTGCTTGCACCACCTCTGGAGAGAGTTTTTTCTAGGCCTTGGGGGCTTGGACAGTAAAGAAGTTTTTCCTTATGTACAGCCTAAAATGGTTTTGCAGGAGTTTGTGACCATTAGACCTTGTCATCCCCTGGGGTGCTCTTCCTCAGATCCTGATGCACACCCCTTATGTACTCATAGGCTGCCACCAAGTCACCCCTGAGCCTAAGCTTCTCCAGGCTGAAGAGTCCCATAGCTCACAACCTGTCTTCATAAGGCCTGTTCTCATGCCCCCTGATCATGCATGTGGCTCTTCTCTGGACTCTTTCAAGCTTCTCCACATCCTTCCTAAACTGTGGAGCCCAGAATTGGATGCAGTACTCCAACTGCTGCTTCACCAAGGCTGAGTACAGTGGGAGGATGATATCCTGGGTCTTGCTCAAGATGTATGAGTAGATGAAAGCCAGAGTTTTGTTCACTTTGCCAGGTGCAGTATCACATTGGTGGCTCATATTCTTCTTGTGGTCAATCATAGCCCCCAAGTCTCATTTGGTCATGGTGAATTGTAAGTTTAATCATTTTCTAATAAATGCCTTTTGTAAAGTGTGTATGGTGATGTTTGTGAAGTCCCTTATGTTGCAAATTCACCATCTTTTCTTAGGCTAAGTCAATACTTCAGCGGTTGTTTCAATCCAGGGCTGTCAAGCTTCAAAGCAGCGAGGGACCATGTGCCCCAAGGGCTGTACCAGTAGAGTCATCACACAGCAAAGGGCAGGGCTGGGGTGCAAGGGTCCTCCCAGACTGCATGCCTTATGCAGGCAGGTGGACACATGCACACATGGACAGGTGATACCCAGTGCAGAAGCCTGCCTCACGTTCAGCA